TTGTTCGATATCGTCGGCGGTAGACCAGGGGTGAGGAACGAGAGTCGGTGAACGGCAAAGGAGTGACTCGCTAACGGCGCAGGATACAGTTGCGGTTTTCAAAGGATATCGATGATGATGTCGAAGGAGTGAGAGTCGACGTAACAAAGCACGTATTCGTCAGGCGAGGTGAAAGGGCCCAGTTCATGCACGTGCGGGTGTCGGCCTGCATATATGTTCCGTCAAATCAACCCCAATCAAATCAAACGGTTGTCGAATCAGTCGTCGATGGTGAATTGCATCGCCGCCTCGAGGGATGGAAAAAGAGTCGCAGACGCAGAAAGCGACAGTGAGGGACGCCAAAACGAAATATCGGCGGCGGACAGCTATGCGCAGCTACCTGCAGCGTAGGATCGGAACGAACAAGAAAAAAAAGAAGCGAGTGCTGAGATGCAGTGCTGTGCGGCGCAGTGCAGCGCAGCGCAGAGCAGGGGATGTAGGTATGATGATGGGGGGACGCAAGAAAAATCACACGAGACTCAACTCATACGCGCCGAGGACGAACGACCTGCGATGAGCGGGCGAATGATGGCCTGTGGGAGAGCAAACGCCGTGTGTGGCGGACGGCAGGCACAGGAAAAGCCGACAGCAGCAAGAGCCCGACGGACCAGCAAGAGCGAACCAATTCAATTCCACCCACACTAATCAAACAGGTGGGAAGGCGCCTGAAGGGGGAAGGGGGGACACGCTCGGAAGAGGCCCCGCCTTCCTTTTTCCCTTAGCTCTCTGCCCGTTCCTTGGCTATTTTGCCGGCTTGCGCTTTCCTGGGTCCTCACGTAGTGAATTAAGGTCCTTGAACCCTCTTTTTTTCTTCTTCCTCAGCTCTCTCCTTCCCTTCCTGCTCGATGGCTTTTTGTCTCTATGGACTGTGTTCTACCCGTTCCCGAGTCGGGGTGCTAGACCTTGGCTCAATTGCTGTATTGCGCAATGATACTGAATAGGAGAGTCATAACACCCTCATCAACGGGTTTAATCAAAGTGGCCCAGACAGGTCCAGGCACGCAGGTACCTGTGTGCAGCGGAGTACGTATGTAAGGTACTTAGTGGGCATGGACGGAGCAATTAGTGCCTGAGGCCAGGTCAAGCGCCAGCGGCAAGGTGCCTGCCCAGGTACCCAGCCCTGGGTGCTGCTAGTTGGTGCGTGGTAGCTCCACGGCAAGAGCAGGCACCTACCTCCTGGTTGGGCGAGCTTCGACAGAAAGGGGCAAAGCAGCACACCTCGCCTTTGCTTTAGGTGCAAGGGGCTTCCAGCTACTGGGGTTGAGAAAAAGAAAGAAGACGCAAGGGAAAATGACCCCGGAACGTGACCTGTTGGGCACTGTTTGCTCTTATGAGTGCTGCTCAATTCTTGAATTTTCAGAGGGGCAGGCCATGCAGCAACAGCTAATGGCCGGGGGCTGCCTAGTTGAGAGGGAAGTGTCGCCTGCGCGGATGGCCCGTGAACTAGCCTAGCTCAACGCGCTTGGGAACCGCCCTAACCTAGATTTTCCCAACTGCCCGGGCCTCACTATGCAATTTAGCAGGTTGTCGGCGGCTCAACTGCGACCTGCTCTCATGCAAGTCGGCGCCCCTCCTACGCCATAGGCCTGCGCGTTCTACGCCGTCTTGTTCCGTAAGCTACGTGCTTCAACAGTTCAGCCGGTCTTACTGCCTGTGTGCGTGCATAGGATGCAGTTCGAGGTACGTGCATCTCATCGAGTGCGGCGTATGACGATCCATTGCTAAACTAAGCTACAGTCGATGTAATAATAACAACCCAGCTCATCCAACCAGGCTCGGTGTGTTTCCAGCCTGCCCTCCGTCCTTCCCCAGAGCCGTGGAACAGCTTATGGGTGAACATCACTGCCCCATTGGTGGGCGCTATGTCGCAGACCGGAGGTTATGATCACCGGCTGCTGTCAGTGCCACATGCCGCTATGCGATGACACCCAACGGCCTCCTCGCATCAACCAGTGACGTTGTTCAGCACGCTCTAGGCGAGTTTCACCAATGCACGGCCGTCCGTGTGTGAGTCGTCGTATCTGCCGCCCTGGCTATCCGTCGTCATTGTCCGCCCGCCAAGCACAGCTGGGTGGATAATGGTGGGTTTCGATCATGTTCTCTGGCGGCTGCTTATTCATCTCTTCATCTTATTGTTTGTTTGTTTGCAAAGCCAAAATGGCTGCAAGTAGGGAGGCATGTAAGTGCGCATTTCTGCTCCACTTAGCTGGCCTCTGCCCAAAACCTCAGCTCCAACGCAGCCCTCGCTTTTTAACCGACATGCCATCCCGGCGCAGAGGCGGCACGAGCTGCCTCTGCCTAGATATGCATGAAATTGCCATCACAGCCGCATTGCCAAAGCCTTGCGGCGGTCCCCGTCGGGCTGTGAAGGCTTCGAGCTTTTCTTTTCAGATCAGGGAACTTTCGGTGATCCTCCCGGGGAAGCCAAATCCCTGTCCCCTCGTCTCCCCTCACATGGCCGTTAGCCCGTTGCATCCCGCCCCCCGAGGCCCCCAAGGGCGGCGCTGCTGGGAATTTCAGCGGGAAAAAATAAAAATGAGATGAGCTACGGCGCAAGAGTCAAGTAACGGTACGTGCATGCATGGCCATGCCGCACCTTGGGCCTGGCTCAAGGCATCGCTGTCGACACGTGTGAGTACCTCTACCTCTTAATATAGGCATTTTCCCATCAATCGCAATGACAAGCGATGCACCCGATACATCCGTCATCCGCCACTCCCCCTGCTCGAATTTAAGCTGGCTCCATTTGTCGTTCACATCAAACCAGCCAAGGATCTCTTCCACGCCAGGACTTCGGGAAGGATAAAAAAAACTTCGCCTACGCACAGAGTCCAATCATGCTGCGATCTTCATGAGGAGAAATGAACTCATATCCAGAGAGCCGGAACTTGAGGCACACAATGCCTTGACGACACCCCACCACTACCCTAGCTTTCCGGTTTTAGGATTCCAGACAGAACATGCCCGCAGGCATCTGCTCAGTGATATTACGTATGTGCGTTGCTTGGCCTATATCATAAAATCCATCGAGCATGCATTGGGTTCCAATCGATTGGGGCCACAAGACGGGTTGATCATCCGTGTGTGAACCTCACTCTATTCTTACTGTATGTGGAAGGTTTTCTCCCCATGAGGCATTCCCCAGGGCCAACTGCTCATTAATAATGCCTGCGGTTCTAGAATTTTTCAGGTGGCTAATTACCTCCATGGCTACAATGTGATGATGTGACAATCCCTGTCTCAGGACACCACCGACCCGCGCGTGTCAGTTGTGTGGCCATCACAGCTCCATCCGCGAGCCTTCAATGTTTACTATGTACACAAACACGAAGCCAGCTGCTAGTGTGTGTTTTGTTTTGTTTGGACAGACGCGTCTGATCTAGCCTGCCGTTGACGCGCCTCAGAGGATTCAATGACAGGACCGGCTACTTTAGCTTAGTCCTGAGCCGCCACGACACTAGCAAAGCTCCAACGTTGGTGGGAATCGTAGAGGTCTCCAGAGACAGAAGGGAAGCCCGACACATGGAGGGCAGCCGAGACCACCACCAAGCCGTGCACAGTCAGCGCTGATTTGTGCGGGACCAGGAAACGAAATTGCAGTTCAGGTAGGCCAGGTCGTGTCCGCAAATTGAGTTAGCGAGTACGACTGGGGTTGCATTCAGCCTTGCAACCCAGATCCTGTCCGGTCCTTCTCGAAGCTACCTGATCGAATGAAATGCGCTCAGCGAAGCGATGCTCATTCCTCGGGACCGGTAAGTCATCCGCCGGATCCATGTCGTACCCTTCATGCCACGAAGTGAGACCACCCATCCAGCATGGCCCAGGACTCCTGGTCGCTCGCTTTCTGCTGCTCGACTTACCTTACCCTACATCCACATGGCTACAATCATGCATGACATCCATTTCCGAATAATACTTGCTTAGCTCTTAATTGCGACGGAGAATCCCTTGCCGTTCATTAGAATTGTCAACATGTCGGTCCTGGGCGAATGAGAGGTCTGTGTAGTTTTAGTTTGATCGTCGATCGATATTCGAACGAAAAAACCTTGCGTAGCCGTGATTTATGTTCACCGAACACTCCACACGCTCACTGTGGTATGCTTTCTGGGGTTAATAAAACTCTGCGAGTCTGGTGGCACTAACAACTGCATGAGTCAACGTCACTTGCCCAATACAATGTAAATTGTTTGGTAGTTCGGAGGCAAGTGGTTGTCAGAAAAGCAGGGACTGTAAGTCACCTTGAAAGAAATATTGTGGCAGTCAGTCGTATATAATGCTTCCTATTGTGTAATGGTAAATAGATAATACTGCCTAATAATTGCTCAATAAATCATTGTTATTTTTGTTAACTATTAGCTATCAATATCGTGACCTGCATTGAAAAGTTGGGATTAAAGCACCTTTGTAGTACCTGTTATTCTGACGCCCACTTGGTTGGTTCGTGATTTGAATACCAAGCCATGGCGAGATGAAGGGTATCCCTTTTGTCTTGATCATAGCATGTAGCTCGTTTAATCAGGCAAGAGGAACAATGAACAAATGATGTACTGGTCCACCCGTATGTAAACGAAGGTGCGTATCAACGGATCAAACTTTGTGCAAATACTATTTCTACCCCGAATATCAATTTACCTTGAAAGACGAGACTCAGTCTCAAAGCTACAACAAAGGCCTACGATACATCTCAGCGCATGTCGAGGTAAAAGTTTGATAGCATCAAACTGCTGTGAAATTTATGGATGAAGAGCAGATGCATATGTTTATACGAGGCTCTGGAACATGTCACCGAGGATGAAAACCAGACGATACAGGGTAGGCCATAAGTTAGGATTCAATTTTCACTCTTGCTACACTATCTTGGCCTCCTCAAGTGCTTAGGCTATCGAGATCCAATCAATCAATCGGGGCTCACAGAAAAGAGCAGAGTTGTACGGGAGCTGGCTGTGCCATGCTTCGATTTCTCAAAGCTTGCTCACCACATCGCTCTTCCTCCCGGCACAGCAGGAGCCAACCTGCTTCTGGCTGAAGGCGTTCTTGGACGACTTGTCGGCGGCGACGTCCGAGGGCGGCACCCAGAGCGCCGGGTTCCTGACGAAGAAGTTGGAGGCCCGCAGCATGACGCTCACGGGCTCCCCCGGCATGATGGGGAAGTCCTCGGTGCGGGGGAAGTGGGTGAGGCCGAACTGGATGTAGCAGACGATGTCGGTGTTCTCAATCGACTCGTCGCGCGCGACCCAGTCCTCGACGGTCGGGTTGTGGGGGTGGTCGAGGTCGCCCGCGGACTGGCAGACGTAGTCGCCGGCGGGGAAGAGCTCGTAGTCCCGGTAGGGCACGACCCAGAGGGCCTTGCGGGCGAAGGCGGCGCGCTTCCAAACCATGCTTCCAGGTTTGGCGAGGAGGGCCGGGCTGTTGGGGTTGAGGATCTTGTAGGCCACGGGCTTCTTGGCCGAGGGGTTGAGGCTGCCCGGGTTGACAATGTCCCAGGAGCGGCTCGTCTCGGCGCAGTAGCTCGCGGCGGCCTCGGTGGAGGTGCGGAGCGGCGTCTTCTTGCAGTAGAAGCCGTTGCCATACATGTTCTCAGCGGAGCCCAGGGGGGCCTCCGCGAGCATGGCGTCGCTCTGCACGATGGAGTTGTTGGGGCCGTCGATCTCGGGGTCGACGCGCAGGGAGAAGATGTGCTGGTGGTTGTGGGCGTTGATGGCCGGGGCGACCTCGGCGCCGAAGGGGGAGGCGGTCTCGGTCGGGTGCATGCAGTAGGTGTTGAGCATGCCGGTCAGCTTCATCTCGAGCTTGTAGGTCCCGTCCAAGGTGAAGGTGTGGTAGAAGGCATATTCGTAATTGGCTGCCGTGATGATCTGGGAGATGATGAGCTTCCTATCACGGGCCGAGATGACAGTGCCGTCGCGGTAATCGGTATGCTTGTAGAGCAGGCCGTTGTCCTCCTCGTGGATGCAGATGGCGTTTTCGATGATGGCCGGGTCGCCAGATCCAGTCGCCATGATGGCATCCATGTAGTGGATGACGCCCTTGCAGTCACATCCAAGCTTCAAGGAGTTGGTCATCAAACCAGTGCCATACTCGCCGACATCAAAGGCATGCTTCCTGTGGTGCGGCGTGTCCGGGTTGCCGTAGGGCACAACCATCTCAACCACACTGATGCGGTTGAAGAGAGTGCGCTCGCGCTGCTCGTGATGGTCGTGGATACGCACATCGGAGAGGACGATGCCCTCGCGGTAGTTGAAGCCAATGTGCATCTTGTAGCCGGCCCAGGAGATCTCATTCCCATCCATCTGGAACGAGACACCCTCTGGCTGGGTAATGTCAATGGGCTTCAGAAGCTGCGCATTGTAGCCGTCACCGATAAACTCGGGCATGTAGTTGTGCTCGAGGAACGACGGCTTGGTGCGCTCACCGTTAACGAGACGAATGTCAACGGTGAGAACCTCCTCCTTCTCAGTATCGACAACGACTGAGAAGTCCAGCGGGTGCGCATACTGGTTGTCGAACCTGGAGTTGCGGAAGTAGACGATGCCCTGCTGAAGACGGCGCTCCATGCCCCAGCGGTGATCGAAGCCGACGGCCCAGGCATCGATGAAAACCATGGACATGTCGGTGATGCCGATCTCGCTGCAGGCCTGGATGACACGGGGGTCTTTGAGAGCGACCTGCTCGCACACGTCGAGATCCTCGAGGGTCAGGGTCGGAGCCACCTCGGACACTGGAGTCCAGCTCTCGACAACTGACTGCTTGAGGTTGACAATCACCTCGGCCACATTGGCTGAGCCCAGCTCGAGGATAATGGCAAAGGCACGGCGCTCTGGGCGGGGGCCACTTCCACTGCGGAAGGCAGCATACTCGGCCTTCTTGGGCTCACGGAGAGTAAGGCAATTGAACTTGATAGCCTTGGGAGCAGCATAATCACGAATAATCTTGGCAGCGACGCGAAGCTCTTCAATCGATAGCTGATCTACAACAGGTCGGTGTCAATACGCTGTTCATCGAGGAGCGAGCAAAAGTCCCAAACTTACCGAGAGGATGGGCCAAGGGCTGCTTCGACAGATCGGGAGCGGCGTCGTTGGGCTCTTCCCGAAAGATGGTGTATCCGGCTATGGACGAGGTGTCGGCAATCATGGTGAGGGTTGTCTGGGCTTAGAAACTGTGCCATACAAAAGGTTTTTGGTGGTCCCTTGAAACAAGAGAGAGCAGGACTAGGTGGATGGAGTGAGGCGATGAGCTTGAGATGAAGACTTGTGTTTGTCTCTTTGTGTGTCTGTGACGATGGGAAGATGGATGGGAAGCAATCGAGTCAGAGAGGCAGCTAAATATATGTCGGTCTTCATCTACGTAGAGCCTCATGGCTAGCTGCCGCGGGTGGAGCGGCCCTTTTTCTTTCCTATTCTAATCGCCTTGAGCATGACTAGACACCAATGGGCGGTGGCACCCGGGGGCCATCTCTCGGGTGTCCATGTCATGCGGCGGTGGCCGTGAGAGAAGAGGCGGAGAGGGAGGAGACTCCGACTGTTGAATAAGCCGTTGACGAGGCGAGAAACTTGCCTAGTTTGAGAGCCAGCCTGCGGAGCCTGTGCGAGGGGACGGCATGGCAGACCAACCAGAGGCATACCGGCAGGCCTGGGGAGGAGTCAGGTGTGCGGCCGCTGGGATCTTTGGCCGGCCACGGCATTGGGTCGAACCTTGAGCGACGGTAACCGATAATCACGGCCTCGCTCACCAGCCAAGCAGCGTAGAGCAAGAGCCGGGTGGCCCGGCACCGGCAATGGCAGAGGCACACGACGAATCCAGATCTGGCAACATAAAGGGCCTCTCCCCCACCCTCCAGCCGAGCCCATCATAGACCGACGGCGGTGTGGTGGGAGCGATTGAGGCCAGGATGAATGCAGCAAGTAAATGGGCTTGATTACGGCACGACTGGTCACATTCTACCCCGCAAAAATGCTGACGCTCGAGCTGGAAATCTCTGGGGATGGTGAAGTTATCACGTAATGAGAATGGTTCCCCAGTTTCACCTTCATTCACTCCTCCATCGCTATTGTGTCAAGTGTTATTGCTCGCCACGACACTATGTGGTGATGGTTGGCCGACCATGCTTCTTTGGGTAGGTTTTCAGTCCGCCTCCCTTAGGCTCGATCCTGGCGGCACCTGACGGTCGCTATGTACAAACATATGGCAGATCTTTGAGAAAGAATCACCAAGTTGGGCTGCCCGCGTATGAACATGCGTCGCGCCACTGATAGCGTGGTTCATCGGGTGACCGTTGCCCTGATCAACTCGTGTTGTTTCTGATCGAGCCGTGCCGTGTCCCTCAGAGGCAGCCCTCACATGCAGGGGACATGTACTTATCGGTTATGGGGAAAGAAAGTTACCTAAAGGAAACTAGACTCTGGGATGGAGGGGAATGCAACAGGTACCGCCCGGCAGCGTCTCGATGGAGAGATACATGCGGAGGAGGCCGAGCAGAGTTTTGTGGTCATGGTAATTGGTTACCTTATCTGGACCCTTGTCTGCACCCAATTTTGTCTCTTGCACGCAAAGGAACTACTCCATACCTCAAACAGATGTGTTGCCTCCGTGTAGGGATCTACATAGTACGTCGCTATGCTATATATGAATGTCGTTGCGCCCTCTTCGCCCTCCACCGCCCCGGGTGACTTATTGAAAACGACCATACGGATAGGCCGTGTTGACTTACCTGCTTGAACTTTCAATCCTCCATCAGCCTCATCATCTTTAGCGAATGTATTCCCTGGGCGATCCTCCTCTTTGTCTTATTCATTACATACCTAGCACGGCTCGCTGAGACCACTTCTCCCCATAATGGACCCCGACAGAGAATCGCAATCACCTCGCAAGGAAACGGACCAGGCAGCTCAAGATGCCGACGACCTCGCCGGCCTGGGCCACTCCCAAGAGCTCACCCGCAAGTTCAGCTCCTGGAGCATGTTCTTTCTCGCTTTTACCGTGCTCGGAACATGGTCGACCTTTGCTCAAGGGCTCAACAGCGGTTTGACGAGTGGCGGGCCTGTGACCATCCTGTGGGGGCTCGTCCTCGTCACATTCTGCAACATCTGTGTCGCCGTCTCCCTGGGCGAGCTGTGTAGCAGCATGCCGACCGCTCTCGGCCAGGCCTACTACGTCTCGCGCCTGTGGCCAGGTGGCTGGGGCCGGTTCATGTCGTACATGTGTGCTTGGATCAATACGTTTGGGTGGTGGACGCTGTCTGCCTCCCAGCTCACCTTCATGACCAACTTCATCCTGAGCATGAAGGTCTTGTATACCCCAGACTGGCCCGAGGCCAGCGTCGGCTGGATCAACTTCCTGCTCTACCTCGGCCTCACCGCCCTCGTCACTCTCGTCAACGTTGTTGCCTGCCGCCGCGACGCCGTCCTCCCCTTTATCAACAACTTTGTTGGAGTATGGTTTGTCGTCCTCTTCTTTGTCTTTTGCCTGGGCCTCCTCATCTCGGTAGGCGTCAGGGAAGGCCTCGAATACCAACCAGCTTCTTTTGTGTTTGGCACGTGGCTCAACCAGACCGAGTGGAATGACGGGGTCACCTGGTTCTTGGGTCTGGTCCAGGCGGCATATGGCCTGACTGCATTCGACGCGGCAGTTCACATGGCCGAGGAGATTCCCGCCCCCAGGAAGAACGTGCCTCGTGTTCTATGGCTCTCCGTGACTGCAGGCGCCATATCCGGCTTCATCTTCATGGTTGTTTGTTTGTTTTGTATCCAAGACCTCGATGGCGTCCTGGACCCTTCCACTGGACTCCCCTTTATGGACTTGCTGGACCAGGCCATGGGACTTAGCGGTGCAACAGTCTTGCTTTCGCTCTTCATTTTCAACGGACTGGGCCAGGCTGCCAACATCATCACCACCGGCTCGCGCCTTACCTGGGGCTTTGCGCGGGATGGGGGTTTCTTGTGGAGTGACTACTTTGGCCATGTCGACCACTACTGGAAAGCCCCTGTGCGCTCTCTGTGGCTCCAGGGCGCCATCATCGGATTGGTCGGGGTCCTCTACACATTCGCCAATACGGTGCTGGAGGCCGTCCTCAGCGTGTCTACCATCGCCCTCACGGTGTCGTATGGCATGCCCATCCTGGCGCTGTTGGTTGTTGGCCGGGACAAGCTGCCCCCCGGCGGAGAGTTCTCTCTGGGGCGGGTTGGGCCGGTAGCCAACTGGATCTCGGTCATCTACTGCGTTGTCACGACGGTGTTCTTCTTCTTTCCTTCGGCGCTCAACCCATCCCCCGCCGACATGAACTATGCCATTGCGGTCTTTGGCGTCATGCTGGTTGTCTCGGTAGCCCTCTGGTTTATCCGGGGAAGCCGCACATATCTACGGACGGCAGGGGCGGAGGAGCGAGCTGTGCACGCGAGGGAGTTGGAGATGTCGCACCTCCAGGGGGTGGCGAGCGGGGACGGTGAAAAGCCACAGGAGCTTGAGACCAAGCTGGAGAAGGATCAGTTGAGGGAGTGATGTGTAGATGCTGGGTGTGACTACATGTGTATTGCTTTGCGGCACCTTGTCTTTATTTTCTCTGCTTCTCAAGGCTCAAGGCATTCGGCCGATAGATTTACTTGGCTGGTAATTGTCTGGGTATAATATTCCCTTATTCCCATAGCCTGCAAGAGTACGGGAAGATATGAATAGACAGGCTTGTATGAGAATCCAAGTATTATAATAATCATTGGTCATAGTATCTTCGTTTCTGGCTTCCTCAAGTGGTCGATGGGCCGTGTGGCAGCCTCCCGCAATTTCTGGCCTCCCTTGTATTAATTATGAGCAGCCAATACCGAGCCGGCCGAGTCATGTCCAGGCATGTTAGACGTTAGGCCTAACCAGGCAACTTTATTGGTCAATCTAGACCGAGATAGCGTGGAACTTGGGTGATTCGCTGGTTGGTTCAGCCTGATCCTTGCCCCATCCGCTTATCCTGCATTCGCATAAGCACGAGAACGAGGGTGGCACACGGGTTAAGTGGCTCGCTCTCTCCTCGTCCTTCCATCCCTCTCCCGAGATCGTTCACGTACATCTGCAAGTTAAGCAAGCAACCTTGCTCGTGGCTGACGTAGCCTGGTTTCTGTTGAGTAACAGATATCACCCATTGGCTGTCAAATCAATCAATCAATCAATCACCCCGGGCTTCCCTCACTGCACCTGCTCCTCTTCTCCAGCCGGTCCCCCGCAATCCAAATCTCTGATTCTTTCTCCACGCTCGACAGACAGGTTGTGTGCGTACCGGATCGTTGCCCCCCCGGACCTCTGTCGGTGAGAAACACCAGTAACTATCTGTTCGCCATCCGTTTCTGGACCCTGCTCTGTGCTTGTCGCCCTTGGACGACAGCGGAAAGACCATCACGACGATTGACGATTCAATACTCTATCTAGCTTCCTGCCTTTCTTCATTTTCTCGACCCCTTATCCCCTGGATGGTTATGTATAAGGCTTCTTACGCCCCTCGGTTGCCCCGGCCGCATATGGAGGGTACAGACTCTCTCAAGTTGTATTTCTTGGCTGAATTGTTGAAACGCATACACTCTTGCAGTTGCCGTCGCTAGTATCGCTCGCTCAACGCATTGCACATCTTGGATAAACAGTCAGTGATTGACTATTGAAATTGTGTTGCTTGTTGCGCAGATGACGAGGATACGCGTTGTGGCAGGCTCCTGCTGGCCCTGCAAAAAGAGACGTGTGAGATGCGATCTGGAGAAACCTGTCTGCCAACGATGTCTCCAGGCCGGGGCAACCTGCGACTACAACACCCGTTTGATCAGGTGGAGTTCACGACCAAGTGCCCGGACCGTGCCAAGTATTATGCAAATTGCTGGTCTGGGTCGGGATGGGCTGGGTGCCAGGGAGCAGCGCGCCCTGGATTACTTCCACGGTCGCGTCTGGCCTCTTCTTCAGACATCCGAGGAACCTTGTGCGCCCCCTCTCCCCGTTGCTATACAGCATCGTGTTGTTCTACTGGCGACGTGTGTGCTCGCAGACTCCCATCGCTTACTCCAGGACGGCAAGGATCATGATGGATCCTTGAACACGAAGCGGCTCGAGTGCTTGGCCGCCATCCGTTCGGAGGTTGATGGATGCTGCGTGCAAGGAAACAATAGTAC